AGCAAGACAAGACCAGATTCATGAGAATCCTTAATTCCATATACTCAGATATTCAATTTACAATGGGGGAGGAGGCCAATACCACACTGGCCATCCTGGATGTGCTTGTCAGCCGCAATCCTGATAGGAGGCTTGACACAGGTGTGTATTGAAAAATCATGAGCATGGACCACATAAAATGTGGTCCATGCTCATGATTTTTCAATACACACCTGTGTCAAGCCTCCTATCAGGATTGCGGCTGACAAGCACATCCAGGATGGCCAGTGTGGTATTGGCCTCCTCCCCCATTGTAAATTGAATATCTGAGTATATGGAATTAAGGATTCTCATGAATCTGGTCTTGTCTTGCTGTTTAATAATTGCAAATGTGTGGTCGATATAACATGCCCAAAACTTGGGCTTGTAGATTTTCATTCCTCATATCAACATCAAAATGTTGTCGAATGGTGTCATTTGTGATGTGGTCAAGAAGGGAGATGCCCGATATCCAATGGAGCATTCACAATTTTCCATGGCATGGAGAAAGCTTTCGGTCACTGTTGTTGCTGCCCAGCATTCAGTGCCATACAGTGTAACAAGGCGATGGTTCTCTTGTAAATCTTAGATTTAAGATGGGTTGGCATTTGTCTGTCACATAACACACCAATGAGTTCTAACCAATGCATCCAGGCTGCAATCACCCTTGCTCACACCTCACCATTGATATTGCCATTGCCTTGGAGGTTGGACCTAGATACTGAAAAATGTCCACCTTCTTCAGGTTTTCTCCATTGATTTGAAGCATTCCAGGGGTGGTGACAGTCTCTAAGTTCTCAGTTTTCATAATGTTGAGGCAGAATTCGAAATGGTTCAGGTGATCATTCCATGTTTGAATTTGTTGCTGTTGTTCATGTCATTTGAACTTGCTGCTGTTGTTCGGTGGTGGAAGCAAGCATAATATCATCAGCATAGAGCATAGTTCAGGGTGTGTTTTGCTGAAGGTCATGTGTAATGATATCCATGACTAATATAAACAGAAGTGGTGACAGTGCAGAGCCTTGGTGCACACCAAATGTCACTGGGAATCTGTTGGAAAGACCAGCTGGGCATCACAGTTGGCTGGCTGCTGATATTCTTGTATAGCGTTTTAACCCAGTCAATGACTGGTTCAGATGCTGTGATCCTGGAGAGCATACCAGATTAGTTGGTGTGGAACACAATCAAACCCTGGCTCCAGGTCTAGGAAAACCACACCTTCTCACGGTGTTTTTCTATGAGTTGTTGGGCTGCAAAGATGGCGTCAATTGTTCCACATCCTTTAACAAAACCACATTGGTCGATGTTGAGTTGAATGATTCTGCAAATGCATTGATCAAGGATCCTCTCAAAGATCTTCACAGTGTGACACAGAAAGCGGCTTGGGTGATAGCTGGTAGTCAGCTGGGTCACCCTTGTTGTTGAACAGGGGAATTGTAACACTTGTTGACCAATCAGTTGGTACATGGCCAGTGTTCATTATAGCAATGAAGAACTCAGTCAGCCAAGGTGTCTTGCATTTCCTTTAGTTTCTGGAGGTCCGCAGGCAGGTCAGGTCCAGGGGCCTTCAGGTTCTTCATTCTGTCTACAGCATTGTCAACTTCCCTCCTCAGTTATGAGTGAAATGGCTCCATGTGTTGGTGTGCCTTCTGGAATTGGTGGATGTGGGAATTTGATGTTGGAGATCTCATTGAAATGATCCTTCCATCATTGCAGGATCTCCGGTTTGTCTTGGAGTCATTTGCCATCCTTCACACATATGTGATGCTTGATGTCGTGTGCTAAATTGGTGAAAATCTCTCATTAAATTCAGGAAAAAGTTCACATTCCAGAGACTTAGAAATGAAGATACTTCCATGCAAAATTATTTATGAAGAATGTCAAAACAGGTTCAATTATCTGGTGAGTGAGATCAAAACAATCTCTGTGAAATATTTTATGTTTCTTTCTGAAACATAAGCTCCTTGAGATACTTTGCGATTTCATGATAAAAAATAAGCCACACTTTAAACAAATGAATACATTTAAAGAAAACAAAAATAATTAAAACAGCAATCAAATTGTGAAAACAATAGCAAATTTGTGGGTATATGCCTTCCCTAAGAAATTAAAAAGATCAGGTGTAGCAAGGAACCTAACTCTCTTTATTTTGGATTACAGCCCAGGTAATCTTGCTACTCACATTTCCTTTGGAAATATAATTTGAATCCCGCATGATGTCCCTGGCTAGGCCAAAGTCACAGATCTTCACCAGTTTCCCTTCGCAGATCAGTACGTTTCTTGCAGCCAGATCACGGTGCACACACTGGATAATAAGGGAAAAGACATGCTGACTGTGTAGACATATACTTCGGGTGTCCTGATTTTTATTTCAAAAGTAATTATTGTGCCTCGGAATTCCTCGGAATTAAGCAACAGCACAACATGCAGTGAGACATGTAACGCACATGATGAAGAGGTGCTTGGGCAGCTGCTCTAGAGACATGTGGAAATACTGCTGTCTAAGCTTTATGACTTCATTTTGTCCTCTCACACCACAGCCTCATTTTGTAAACTTCACAATTCTTTAAAATACTCTGCAAAGGCAGTGCAAGAAGAAGGCAGTGCAAATATGCAAGTACCAGTGTTTTAGAGGTACTTGCAAGACCTTTACCCCTGGCACTGTCACATTTTTTCTATTTTTATATTAGACATGTGAAAATATTCCTTCAGGTAGCAAGTGCCAGGAGCCCAGCACCTGGGCTCTTCTCAACTTGTTCATCTTGAATTTGGAAACAGAGTTTGCCCCCACCAATCCTGCAAACTACCTGGTTCCCCATGGTGTAGACATCCTATCAGCAGTGTTGAAAGAATATTTGGTAGTCAGTTGAACAAAGATTAGGGAGAGAATACTTTCTCAGATATTGGATATCTTGGGTTAAATCTAAGGCTGCTACGTTCTACCTCCTTTGCCTTGCTTCACATACAAGTGTGTGGAAGTAGGAATTGCGACCAGTCACAAGGGAAAGAAAAACAAAAAAAAATAGTTTCTTCCCATTTCTTACTATATTGTGGCATTTTTGCTCATGTCCCAAAGAACCTAGAATCATACAAAATCAGAGAATATGATTTTGAACACTAAGTTTATATGTCATGTAAAGCCATCTTTTGTTTAACCACAGTTTGTTGAATAGCCACAGTTGCCTGGTTCAAATAAAATGTGGTGTTTTAGAAACTACAAAGGCTGAATTCATACTTCATTGCAGAATTAATTCCTTGTACTTTGAGATGCTGCTATTCTTTTGCCCTTCAAATTCATTATTTATTACATCTACCTACCTATGCCACCTATCCGGCTATTCAAATTCATTGCTGGGTAGAACCTGAGAAATTCTCTATCTTACATGTTTTCCACCCATATTTTTTTTCACTGTGTGGTACTAGCGACATCCATACTGTATGTGACATCTTAATGCCGGCTTGTGAGGATGCACTTCAGGAAAAACAACCACAGATTATGTGGTAACGTAAAAGCAGTTTCTTTGTCTGCACAAGTTTTATCCTTTTTTCCCCTCCTTGCCATCACTATTAGCCAAATGCCTCACATGACCAAAATCGCTCAACTCTGATCAAGATTATGACTACATAGACATGCCGATGAGTGAGCTATTATGTCTGAAATGAACCTTGTGACACAATTAATTGGATTTGTTGTGATGCTTACTAGGCTGTACTACAAAGCTTTTTTTTTTTACTACCTGAAGGAGAAAATCCCCCCCCCCTTCATTTAATCCAAGGTTGTTTAATATCCCAAGTTAACCAGGTTTGGGAGCATGTAACGCAAAATACATTCAGAAAATCTTCTATTTAATTGGTAAGGAAGAAGACAAACCAACAGTCAGCTTCCCATTCACGACCTATCAAATCTGTATTCTGAGGGACTACCTCACTTTGCTTGAAGAAGCTGAACATACTGAGCTAGTCTTTTCTTACTGAATGTCATGGCTTTTGGTTGGTGCATGCAGGGGGGATTAGGTAAACATGCGTGGTTGTGAAAAAGGTTGCAGTAATGTCTAAACAAACAACATACCAAAGTCTAGTAACACCTACACTAACAGCCCTCCTATTTATGCTTTTGAGAGAAACACCCTTGTTCACCTCCACCTGTTTCTGCTTCTTTCTTGAGCACAAACACGTACTCAACCACGTCCCCTTCTCCTTTGAAACCAGATATCCAAAAATATAGTTATATAATCCCGAGTGCAAATATATTTACGTTTTTAGAAGCTAAGAACTCCATTCCCTTAGCCACTTGGAAGCTAACTCCAAGAAGATCGATATAGCTGAGGAGGGGAGACTCGCTGATCAAGGTCACTTTTTCTGAAGCTGGAAATATAAAATAATAGTGTTTATTAACCCACCACCCCTTTAAAAGACAGACACATAAAACCTTTCTGCACACTTACATATAGCAGACTTGCTGGAATATAAGATCAATGGCATATAATATCAATGGAATCGGAAGTTTCCTTTTCCCAACATTAAATTATAGAGGTAGTCCTCAATTTATAATACAAGTAGGACCAGAATCTCTGTCACTGAGTGAAGTAGTCTGTCATGCCTCAGCATACAATTTTTATATATTCTGTTGTTGGTCTCTAGCCCCATCTAGCGGCCACCGGGACAAATACAATTATATTGTTTTGAAGCTGTTCCAACTCTTTTACCCATCAGCCTGCACTCTCAAAATAAGTGCATGCTGGGAAGCCAGATGTTCTGACCTAGTTCTCAAACATGACAAGTACACAGTTGTTTAACTAAATTAGGAGCACCCTTTATTAGGAGCACCAGCAACTCCGGCAAAGAGTCTTTCTCCCCCCCCCCAATATATATTTAATTATTTTTACATTTAAAACAATGCAGTACCGCGAAATCAAAGTGACCATACATTCACTTTATGTACAGCTAGTCTCAACCATTAACAAT